GTGTGTGTGTGTGTGTGTGTGTGTGTGTGTGTGTGTGTGTGTTTGCATTCACACTAAGCAAATGCCGTGCAGTAATGAGATGGCTGAGAGGCTAAGCTGGATCAGCTGAGTGGCTGCGTATCAGGACGGCGTGCCGCTGCTCCGGCGTCGCTCCATGTGTGGCCTCAAATCAAGAAAACCTCAAACACTGTGAGTTTGTGCATGACACACACACACACACACACACACACACACTGCATCTCCAGTCTCATCTGTGTAGAGTTATTGAGCACTGATCCATTCTGAGCTGCTGTAGGCTGTACAGTGGGAGTTCGGCTGAGAAAGGCCCTCTGTAACGGTATGTACACAATGACACCCTTTCATATTTGTTCTGCGGTTTGAATTTTGATTTTTGTGTATTAAAGGCCGTGTTTCACATGGGCCTAACTTGTTGGCAGAGGGAGAGGTAGATTTCTTTTGCCCCCCTTTTTTTAACAAAGGATCTTTTCTCCTTTGTGTGCATCTGTGTTGTAGTAAAGCTGGAGAAGAAGAGGTGACCATGGCAGCCGGACAGTCCAGCCTACATCCAGAGAGCGCAAAACCGCTAAAGGAGCAGAAAAGTAGGGAGGGAGTTGGCAGCATGTCAGGAGGCGACTCTTGAGCTTTGCTCGGTGCAGAGCTGACGCACTAATTCTCACAGAGGGGAGGGGAGAGAGACAGCCGTGGCCAGATGGAGCTCTGTTTGTTTTGAAGTAGCTAAACTGCCGCTGAGAGCAGCACACGCTGTCGGCACTGGGAGGACGAAGCAGACCTCACAGCTTGTCAGGGCAGCGATGGGTCAACGAGCTGCTGGTTTCTCCCAATGAGGAGCGGTCCGGTGCTGCACTGTGGCTGTGAGGCTCGGCGTGGAGACTCTATGCAGCTCAAGGTCAAAAGGAGCAGCACTAACCTCAGGGAACTGTCCCATCTGGATCCAGGAGCCTGCAGAGGCACGTGGACAGAGGTTTTTCCTGTTGTAGCATCTCTAAGTCTGTATGAGCTCACACTACTGAGGGCTGTRTAGGACTTTAAGGAAGATGTAAGGCTCGGACCTGCCTAAATACCTCTCACAAGAATCGGTTGTCCCAGCCTGATTCTGTGTCCAAAGCGAAGGGAATGGGCCCAGCCTCACTGCAGGAGGAGAGGGAGCCGGCCAAACAGTCCAAGGAGGAGATGGAGAGTTACCGCTGCCTTCTGCAGGCTGGCTCCCAGCTGGAGAGCACTCTGCAGCGTAAGTAACGTGATGCCGACAGACCCCTTTACAGTTCTCATCTGCAGTACTGACCTTTTTATGAGTACTGAAATTATTTCTCATTCTGTATCTTCACTGCTCTTCTCAACACACTGACATTTACTGCGATCGGGTTCAATTTCGTGTAATCTACTGTGACCATTTGTAACTTCTGGGAGCTGTTACAGAAGGTAACTGGAGAACTGCACCTCGGGTTAGTCGGTATTATTGATGTACCAGTTCCTGTTCCTGCAGCTTTGCTACAGCAGTGGGCTATTGCAGGGATTATGTCAGCTATTTTAGGCCATCGCAGATGGATAGATTTTGATCCATTGGAATGATGTGCAGCCTTGTAGATCACTGGGACAGTCATGGATGTAGAAGACATCCTTCTGTTGCCAGATTGATCAAATTTGCTACAGAAAGTGGRTTTAATAAATACCACATTATGCTGCTTGGAGTGTTTCACATGTATCGAATCATGTAATGCATTTAGAGAGCAAAAGGGAAAATATATATTGTCATTTTATTCAACATATTAAATACTAAGGATGTTATTTATAAAGCCAAAAGAAACAGCTTCTCATAAGAATGTGATCACATAGGGATGATAATGAGCCTTGGTTTACATCTCCTACACATGGTACCATCCCTGGATTTTAGAAGTAACAAACAGCAGGAAAAGGACTGTTCAKAGTTGAAAAATTTTCAGCTTTGCTTTAATCTTCTTACAGAGGATCCAGTGGTAAACACATCCACACCAAATGAACTGCTGTAGTAACCGCAGAAGTATCATCCTGTTGTCGCAGCACTTTTTCAGTTTGTAACACTGTCCTCCACCTAATGCACATCCAAAAGGATCATTTTCAGACATTTCCTCTCTTGCTTCAATAAACCTGCTAGAATTATTTTATTCATGACTGCGWAGTACCAAAACCTGTTAGTGGACAACACCCAAAATAATGTTTTACCCCCCGTTTTTCTTGTAAAAAGGACAGGAGCAAATCACACTTTTATGGTTTCAACTTCATCTGATATGTTTAGGTTCCTTATTGTAGACTGAAACTTTACAGAGGTGTGTTTGCTCTTTTTATGTTAGTTTTATTTTAAGCATATGAAAGAGAAAATATTATGTAGAGAGATGACTTCATAGGTACAGTTTTGACCTGAGGCATAAGGAAGTTGCTTTCTAGTTAGAGGATTAAGGTGTTCTTTCCCCAGAACCTTTATAGCAGGACTATTCAAGTGGCGGCCCGTGGGCCACATCCGACCTGCGAGTGACCAAAGTACGGCCCGCCACTTGATTCATTCATCTCCTAAGCCCAAACCCCCGGTTTTCTAATTTGATTAATCTAAGTTCTTTTAGTTAAACATAGATATGTTTGGTATCTACAGAAACGTCAGAATCTTGTTTAGAAGCTAGTAAAAAACATTTCTACGCACACTCAAGACAGTTAAAATTACAAGCAGATGAAGATAAAACCATGAAAGTGAAATTAAAATTGGTTTAAAATTTCGGCAAGTCAGACATGTCAAAATAATATTTGTGTCAAATGTGTTCTTTTATTTTTTATGTTTAATTATGAATACTTTTACAGGGTTTTGTATGTTGTATTCATGATAAAACACAGCAAAATAAACTATTTCAAAAGTAACAGATCTTTGTAATACTTKGTTTGTTTACATAATGGCGGCTGTGGTAGAGTGGTTAGGGGAGTTGTCCTGGAACCAGAAGGTCGCTGGTTTGATCCCCCGCCCAGCCATCTCAATCGTTGTGTCCTTGTCAAGACACTTCACCTGCCTTGCCTACTGTGAGTGAGATAGTGAGATAGTGAAGTGAAGTGAGATAGTGGCAGTCTCACTTCTGTCAGTGTGCCCCAGGGCAGCTGTGGCTACAATGTAGCTTACCACCGTAAGTGTGTGAATGTGTGCATGTCTGTTAGTGTAAAGCGCTTTGAGGTCTGGAGGGACTTCAAAGCGTTATATAAGTTCAGTACCATTTACCATAATGACTTTAATTGCTTGATGATCGGCCCCTCAGCTGTTGACCGGCAGTAACTGTGGCCCCCCGGAGCAATTTAGTTGAATAGCCCTGCTTTATAGTGCCAAAGTAAAACACTGCACGCCCTCATTGTCTGCAAATATGCTGATCTATGAGTGAGTGAGTTTTTAAGTGCAGCGTATTAAACTCAAAATGTAAAAAAATTGGTGTTGGGTGGGTCATTTCTTTGTTGTAACAATGCTTCTCGCCAATAAATCTTATAGCGGGCACCTGATTGGCAGCACCTGACATTAACACCAACAAAATAGGACTTGTTGCAAAAAAAAAAAAAGAAGCATTGATACAGCTAAGAAATAATCTACCAAACATACATTTGCTAACTTTTTGTACTAATTTTATATAACAGAAAGCACAAGGTGAGTGAGGAACATTGTGAAGTGCTTTGCAAAACCTGGGTGGGGGTTAAAAGGGCATTGCATAAATGTGGCCCATGTTAATGTAAATCACTTATCGTTTACAAAACCTCCAGGAAGAACAACATATTCATTTGTGATGCAACAAACTAAATGGAATAGTTCAAATATTTCTTCAAGAACAGCTGAAAATAAGTTACCAAATACCCCCCAGGTGTTTGGTATTAAACATAGATTCTCGGAAGTAAAGATTTACAACCATCGGCTCTGCCTAACCAAAGACTTTCATTGCTTCTGTGTTGTGTTCATCGTTCAGGCATTTCTGATCTGCAGCCAGTCTAACTTTCATGTAGCCCAGTGGGGAAAAAAAAACAATTTTCTTCCACCCATATTTTTCAGAATCCTGCCACCCACCAGCTTAATTCTGCCAGTGTTTCATGCTTGATGTAAAAACCTCATGACCTGAAGGCAGCACGACATGTCAGTGTTTTATCCATGTGTTTCTTTGAGTAACAGAGGGTTTCTTGTCTTCAAAGTATCACACAAATCTGCTTCTTCTGTGGTACCGGTTATATCAACTATATTTTTAGGTTTGCACGGTTAAACAATAACTAAATCCAGTTTATGGAGTCAATATTATGGCTTTGATTTTTTTTCTCACAAACTCACTTAAATCCTGTATTAATTCTTTTGAATGTTCCTTCACTTTTGATCAAGATGTCAAATGATGTTTTTTTATTCATTCTAAATTCATTTTGTTTTAAAAAAACATTTTATTGTGGGTGAGTGCTTGTTAAAGGTGCTGCATGTGATTTAATCGCTGTGGACATGTATCTGTGTTTGGACAACAAAGATAAGCTCCCAGTCCTCAGCTTTGTAAGCACACTGAAGGGATCGGTGCGAGAGTCAAATCCATCGACTCTGGCAAACATTTCTCTCTCGCTCTCTGTAAGATCAGGAGAGCAAACAGAGCGTATCTGACTTTCATCTGAACACACTGTCCTGCTTGTCACATGCAGAGGTCGTGATGCATGTTCAAAGAGTCCCTAGAAGAAATGGGTCTAATAAGTACATAGATGAGTCTTTGAGTCGAGCGTGGCACACTGCAAGGCGACCAGTTGTGATCTGGACTGGGAGTTTGTCTGGGTCAACGAGGATGCAGTGTTTCTACAAACTTTGCTGCTTTATTAAACCYACAGGGTTAGCCTTCCTTTTGATTAGATACACTTTTATGAACATGACATCAAATTTGAGTGCTGAGAAAACTGCTTACAAACTTTCTAATGCTTTCATTATTTTTTTCTTGCACATCTCTGCAACACGACCCTATAATTTATGCAGCATTTTACAATCTTCTCCCTCATGTGGGTAARCATCCCTACACCTTTCCAGCAGCTGATAAAGTACCTTAACATCATTTAACATCTCTGACCCCCCCGACTGTCTTCTGCAGTCAAGTTTTAATGGTTATAAAGCTATTCAAGTGTGACAGTAACTGTATATCCTGAGTCTGTGTACACAGTTAACTTATCTGCTGCTGCTGAGCCCTGACTTGGTCTCTCTATTACACATCAAATATTCAGCAAGTATCGGTGGAGCTTATTACTTGCTCCCTGACACGCAGCGCTAATGCATTCGGCTCATGGAAAACAACACCTCACTCGCTCTCCTTTTTTATATTTTTATCTCTCCGCATCAATTATTCACGAGCAACGGGTGAAATATTTGAAAATCACTTCCTCCTGATTTGCTGCTTTTCCAGCTGAACGCAGCGCGAGCTCATCATCACCTTCGTACTCTGCGTCGTGTGCTTGTTTTGGTGATGTTTTGTGAGATAAAACTATAAAGTTGAAAAGTCTGCCACCAGCTAAATCTCCACGATCCTGTTTATTCGGTCAGGAACAAGTTGGTGCAAGCTGAGACATGTTAACAGTGACAACACGATCCAGTGAGTGTGTCCTCTGCACAGCTGACTGAATGAGACTGCATCTGTTTTCCCATATGTGTACTGCACTTACTGCTCTTAGAGAGGCTGCATTTATCCTCCACTCAGACTGGAACATTACCCAGATTAATCACGCCATGCTGACCATCTTAATGCTTCTGATGCTCGACAGTGAAGAAGCAAGTTATTTTGTTCTAAAACGATGCCATCCTATATATTTTATTAAATGCATGTTTTATTTTTTGGTTCAGAACGGACCATGTAGCTCATGGAACAAATCATCTAATGAGAATAAAGCTTTAAAGTCTTAATGTGCATTTGTTTTCCTTGGTAACTTGAAGGAAATGAATTTGAGTATAATTATTGTATCACTGATTTGGGGGATTTGTTTGCACTCTTCTATGCAATGCTGCTTTGTTTTGTTGGGTATGTTTTAATTTTTTAGGACAGGCAGCCATGTTGATGTGTTTTTCTTTTTATTATTATTTTTTACTTAAGGCATACAAAAGTGCCTCAATGCAACACTGTCTGCAGTCTGTCCAGTTATCTTAACTTTGTGGTTTTTTCAATGAGTTCCTATTCTTTAGTTTCTTTGTTAAAACAATCGTTAAATAAAATTATTTTAAAGTTTTAGATCACGTATAATGACTTTGTTCATTTCTTTAAAAATGACAAAATAAATTTACATACAATAAAAGCAAATCACGAATAAAATGAAAGGCAGCAGAAAGAAGAAAAAATCTTACAGTATCTGTGCCTTTTTCTTCCCAAAATTAGTGTTTTTAAACAAAAGTAATCTACTAAATAATAATCTACATATAAAAGTATGATGCATGCACTCAAACTTAACTCAGTCATAATATATGTTTTTATTTCTAAAAAGATTTAAAATCCAACTTTACACCACTTGAGATCAGCCAGTGATAATAGTTGTTTCTTTTTGTAAAATCAGTGTTGTTTTGCAGAGGTGACTGTCCCTGTGAGCATGAAGGAGGTGGGAGGATACATAGAGAAGCAAGTGGCATATCTGTCGGGTAAGCCTTTTTTAACCATTTTATTAAAACTTATGCCTTCTGATAAACAAACATAGAGTATTGTTGATTTTTTTCCCCCACTAGGAGGGCGTGGGGAGGACTCTAGTGTCATCATCACCCTCCCAGAATGCTCGGCGTTCAGTGACATTCCAGAGGAAGCTTTAGCCAAAGTCTTTACGTACCTCACTCTCATCCCTCGGTGGGTTTTTCATCTTTTCCTCCAGCCTGACTCCATTTTTTTTCCCTGCCCTGCAGTGCAACAAAACCACAATCGGGTACAGCTGGTTTGCTTTCCACTGATCCTCAGCTCAGCGTTAGACGTCCTGCAGATGTCCTCCAAGTTAAAACCTCATTTTCTTCTAGATTAAGGACATTCTTAATTGCAGCTGTTTAAAAGCCTGTTATCAGCCCCCAGTGTGGGCAAGATCTATTTTATGTAGCTGTAGCAACACTTGGAAATATATAATCAGAGTTTTGGATTTATTTGTGTTTATCCCATCTAACAAAGCATCAGTCACTGCAGATGATTCTAAGAATGCGTATCCTGTTCACAGAACGAGGCAACCTGGAGTCAAATTTATCATCATTTTAGACCGAAGACTGGACACATGGGCCTCCATCAAAACTGCACTTACCAGAATAGCTGTAAGTTTCATATTTATTTTTCAGAATTTTAGTTTGACCAGAACTAATAATACTAGAGAACTTGAGGCACGCAATATGATTGCTTGTGGCTTATAATGTTGCTGTGTATCCTAAAGCAATAGTTCAGAAGAAATAAAGTTTAATTCTGACAACATTGACGAGCTAAAGGCTAGTCTGAGTGCGATCCCAGATGTGCACTGCTTTCATCTTACAGTCCGAGTCAGAATCTTTATTGTCATTGTTGTGGGCTATAACAATAAAATGATGATGAGCAACCTGCAAAGAAAGTGCAAAAGCAAGGTTGTACACAGCCACCAGGTTCTGTATTTGACAAATGTTTTATTTTTACAGAGGAAGAGTCGTTGTGACAGAATGTATGATGGCTACCATTCCCATCATTTCTCCATATAAAATACTGTAATTTTTGCTAAAAATCTGCCATGAAAGGCAGTGGCGCCTGCAGAATTTTTTTTTCAGGGGGGCCATGGGGGGGCCACTGAAAAACCAGGGGTGGCACACCAAAACTAATATGCATAACAGAAAATTTTATGATGTGTTTGTAAAACTGACAAATTGAAAACTATGGCAATATAAAGCTACGGATCTGCCAACAGATGTTCAATTTGTTTTTTCACAGACAATATCACTGATTTTATGACATCCAGAGACAAAAAACAAGAGTATTTATAATGTTGGGGGGATCCACTGGCAGGGGCTCTGGGGGTCCTCCCCCAGAAAGTTTTAAAGAAGTAAATGCCATTTCCTGCATTCTGTTGTATTTTAACAGGTTGTTAAACAGATTTTTACCTACATTGGAAAACACTTAATGTGAGATTCTATAGGTAAAATGAAATAAATTTATTGGTTAAGCAAGAGAAACAACAGTGGAAGACCTAATGTTTTATGGTAAATGTGGGGGTTTAAAGGAATTAAATTTTAAATTTGATGGGGACATTTCCCTTCAAAAATAATCAAAATACGTATTTTAAACACATTTACAAGGAACAAGCTTTTTAAAAATTAAAGGCACACCTCTTCTATGTATGTTAAAATTTTTATTTGCTTGTTGATGTTTACTTTTGTGAAGAAAAACTGTGATTATAAAACCCCAAAACCGGAAATAAAGACTAAAACAAGCACAATTACAAACTACATCTACTATAGTGTTTTCCCAAATTATTAAGTTATTTGCTTTTTATGTCATATAATAAAAATGATTTTGGTCTGTGAGAGAAAACTGAAGAACACAAAGTTGATAGCAACCTTCTTCCTTAGAG